ATAGTGTGTCCTGAGGATTAGAGGTATGAACACATCTAAGCCTCTGAACTGCACCCCACACATAGTGAGAATCAGTGATGGTGAGATACAGGTACAGTGCTAGTTTTCAGGGAAATAGGAAGAAATCTAAATAACTGTTCACGAGTCCAGCATCCAGAGATAGCCACCGTTAATATTTAAGTGTATTTTCTTTCCTTTATATTTGTACCTGTATTTTGAGAACAGTGTAATGATATATAGACACGTTGCTATCTTTTTTCTTTTTCTTTACTTAGATCAGTCATTTCCTCTGTTACCAGTTTTTAGTAATTCAGTTTTTACTAGTAGCATTATATTTCATCATATGATGAAATCCATTTTTTATTCCCCTGATAGTGTATATTTACATGATTTCTAGCTTTTTTCTATGAAAAGTAATTGTTCAGTAAATATTTCTGGATGAAAAACATAAATTTTGGGACCACTTCTTTGGTTACCTCCTCTGGATAGAGTCCTTTGTGCGGAAAGACTGGGCTAACAAATAAGACTGTTTTTTTTTTTTTTTAAAGATTTTATTTATTTATTTGAGAGAGAGAATGAGATAAAGCATGAGGGGGGGAGGGTCAGAGGGAGAAGCAGACTCCCCACTGAGCAGGGAGCCCGATGCGGGACTCGATCCCCGGACTCCAGGATCATGACCTGAGCCGAAGGCAGTTGCTTAACCAACTGAGCCACCCAGGCGCCCACAAATAAGACTGTTTTTAAGGCTCTTGATACATATTGTCAGGTTATGCTCTAGAAATGTATCAAATTTACCTTTTTAGCCACAGAGTAGAATGCTGCTCATTTCATCACACCTTCACTGGCATTGAGTGTCCTTATTTTTTCCTACTCACTGACTTGTGTACACAACCTACTCTCTTATTTTTAGAGCAGTGCTATCCAATCAAACCTTCTGCAATGATGGGAAGTGCTATGTTTCAGCACTAAAATGGTAGCCACTAATTACTTGGGGTTATCGGGCTCTTGAAACGTGGCTAGAGCAACCAAGGAAATGAATTTTTAATTTAATTTAGATTAATTTGAATTTAAGAATTTTTTTTTAAATTATTTTTGGGGAAAGATTTTATTTATTTATTTGACAGAGAGAGAGACACAGCGAGAGAGGGAACACAAGCAGGGGGAGTGGGAGAGAGAGAAGCAGACTCCCCGCTGTGCAGGGGGCCTGATGCGGGGCTCGATCCCAGGACCCTGGGATCATGACCCAAGCTGAAGGCAGATGCTTAACCCACTGAGCCACCCAGGTGCCCCTAAAATTACTTTTTTTTTTTTAAAGATTTTATTTATTTGAGAGAGAGAGAAACAGCATGAGAGGGGAGAGAGTCAGAGGGAGAAGCAGGCTCCTCACTGAGCCGCGAGCCTGATGTGGGACTCGATCCCAGGACTCCAGGATCATGACCCAAGCCGAAGGCAGTCGCTTAACCAACTGAGCCACCCAGGTGCCCCTAAAATTACTTCTTATTAAATAATTTTTTATTTTTAAATTATTCCCATTTAAAGTAATTTTTATTTTAATTCCGGTGTAGTTAACATCCACTGTTACATGAGTTTCAGGTGTTCAAGACAGTGATTCAACCATTCTGTACATTGCTCAGTGCTCATCTCCATCACCTATTTCATCCATCCCCATCCCCTCCCCGCTGGTAGCCATCTGTTCTCTATAGTGAAGAGTCTGTGTTTTGGTTTGTCTCTTTCCCCCCATTTTGGTCTTTTGTTTCTTAAATTCCTCATATGCGTTAGGTCATATGGTGTTTACCTTTTCCTGACTGACTGATTTCGCTTAGCATTATTCTTTCTAGGTTCCTCCCTGTTGTTGCAAGATTACTTTGTGGTTAAGGAGCTGCGCAGGGCCAGTGGCTAGGGTACTGGGCAGAGCAGGCTTGTGCTCTGCTTCCCAGGAACACGGCGGGTCAGCCCCCGGCGTTCCCATCCAGGAGCTCAGCTAGTGCTCTTTTCCCGGACCGCTGTGGGCAGGACGAAGTAGTAGCAATCACTGCCAGGGATGATTTGGGGCAACATTCCCACTCTTTCTCCTGTGTTCACTCAGCAGCATTCCCAGAAGGCCACCCGCCCGGATAGCTGATGGCACTTCTTCTGTTAGAGGAGACTGAAGTGTGTGCCCCATCTTTGCTGTTTTCTTTGCTCTGCCGCCGAGGTTTCTGCCTCTCTCACCCTGTTACCGTTAGGCCCTTTTCCAGGGCGAGAGGCAAACCCCAGAAAAGCCGTCTCTCCCTGCCGCTTCGCGCCCTGTCTCATGTTGATGGGGAAGGTGGCGGGTTGGTCCTCCGCTTCCGCCCGCTCCCTCAGCCATGGATGCTGGCCGTGGCTCAGCAGCCAGGGGTTTCGCTGCTCACTCCCCCAGTGCTCAGTTTGTGATGTCTTTCGTTGCTGTGTATCCCGGTCATGTGACAAGTCACACGGCGCAGTTGGCAGCAGGCCCGAGCTCGGTTCCCCCGGGATGGAGAGCCAGCCGGGCCCTCTGTGAAGTGTGACTCCATCTACTTGGCCCTGACCAGTGGGCCAGAGCCCGGAAAGGCCACACCACCCGAGGAAACAGCTGCCCACTGGTTCTTGGCAGCCGGGGCGATGCCCTGTGGCCTACTCCGAACCACACCAGAAGAGAAATTAATGTCACACCATATAATCCAGTTTCTTAATTCTTGGCAAGCTGGAGTGATAAATCTCATGTGTAAATAAATGGAATCATTTCAGAGCCCTAACAGAAATAGGCTGCAAGAAGTGGTAAAATGAAGTCTGCTTTCACGTAACACGCGTTTCTCGCTCTGTTCCGGTGAGAGTTAACTTACGTGGGGTCTGATTTTGCCTTTGATTTCTTAATCAACTTTTAATGCCGCAACTGGAAGGAGTGGCCAGGAACTGACACCTGTCAATTGTCACGTATGAATTCTTTCTAGGGCAAATTCTTTCCAAAGTGTCTATGACAGCAGTGAGAGGCAGGCCCTCTTCCATGGTATCTCCGTGTTTGCTGGGTGCTGGGCCCTGTGCTAAATGCTCCTCGGTGTTATTTCACGTAATCCGTACAACATCCTCCTAGAGTCTGTGACATTTGTCTTCGCATTTGCAGATGAAGAGAGGTAAAGGTAAAGAAGGCAAATGGCTTGCCTCATGTTACCCATTTAGTAGCTGGTAAGGCTGGGACTGAAGTGCAAGCAAATGGCATCTGGCAGCTACGTCCCTACCCTCTGCACCAGTTCCACACCAAAAAAATAAATAATTTTGTATTTTTAAATTATTCCCATTTAAAGTAATTTTATTTTAATTCCGGTGTAGTTAACATCCACTGTTACTTGAGTTTCAGGTGTACAAGACAATGATTCAACCGTTCTGTACATTACTCAGTGCTCATCTCTGTCACCTATTTAGCACAATGAACATATACGTGTGCTGGATACTCTATGAGGCTCTTTATGTGCAGTCCTCTTGTTTGTTTTTGTTGTTGGTGGTGGTTTTTTTGTTTTGTTTTGTTTTTGTAAAATCTCACAACAGCCTTGCAGGCAGTGGGCACAACTCTTACTCCCCATTTGCAGACAAGCGAACCAAGGGATCAGACTTAGGGGTGTTGAACAAGGTCACGTAGCGAGGAATATGGTGGGCCATCGTTGGACCCTTCCACAGCTCAGGTTCTTAGCTACCAGGTTGTAGTCCCTCCCTACCAGTGAGAAGGTTTGTCCTGGGAGCGGCCAAAGTGTTATTACTGAGAGATTTCTGACCAATAATTAATATAGTTTATGCTTTTAAGTTAAATTGTGAATTGGGGCACAGCCGCGGGTCTGCAGTGATGCCACAAGAGAGATTTCGTGGTATAGGTCAGTGCTCCTCAAACGAGGAGCCAGAGTGAAGGACCATGTTTTTGTTGTTGTTGTTGTTGTTGTTATTGTTTTTCCAAATTTCCAGCTCATTGTGGTCCCACTGTGTTTGGATAATGATGAAGCCTATGGCGCAGGCCTGACTAGGGAGTTGGCAAGACCCCAAATTCAGAGACAAGACCACAGGACTCTGCTTCCGTATCAGCAATGTCCACCTGCTATAAGACTTTCTAAATGCTTTCACTTGATTTCTGTATGGATCTCATCGCAGACCACGATGAGAATATGGACCAGGGCCAGCCGTGGACCACGCTTCGAGAGTCATTACCAGAAACGAGATTTCCAGCTCATAGTTCAGGAAACACTCATTCTAGCCCCTGCTTTGAGCTTGCTGTGTGGCCCGAGGGAAGTTGCTTCCTCTCTCTGAGTTTAGCTTCTTCATTCAGTGGCTAGGTTTGGAGCAGATAAATACAAGATCCCTGCCAGTTCCAAGCCTCTATCATTCCATGTTGATTTTAAGGAGGGTCTGCCCTCGAGAGGCCAGTGGCCAGAAGCAAAAGAAAAACATACATTTAGAATATGCTGAAAATAGTCTGTTTCTTGACAAAGCCTGGCACGGGCAACTCACTAGCTTAATAAAGGACACTTGTGATTTCAGTCTGTAGCATCCTTGTGTTTGACCGATGAATTTCAAGGGCACCAGAGTAGGTTGAGGCCTCTAAAAATCAAAGCACGCCCAATGTGCCAAAGCGGGTTGTGTGTGGCAAATCTTTTGAACTTAATTACAGTGATAGTTAAAATAACAGGAAGTATAATGAGGTTTGTAAAGTGTAATCACCTTGTTGGTTTTTAAGTGTGGGTTCTTTCAACATCAGTCAGGAAGCTGGAGCCAAAGTCCTGGGTTTCTGTATCAAAAGAAAAGCGTTGAAGAGAGTGATTCAAGGGCCTCCACGTACATAGTAGCTCCAGAGAGATCTATTATTCTGTGATTGTAAATGCTTGCCACGTAAAGTGTGGTTCATGGCCCAGCGGCCTCAGCATCTCCTAGGAGCTCGTTAGAAATGCAGAGTCTCAGGTCCCGCCCCAGACTGAATGAATCAGAAAGTGTGTTTTAACAATGTTCCCAAGTGAACCCTACGCATTAGGGCGTGACGAGTACAGCTTGAGGCCGCTGGGAATTGCTCTTGGAAAGGGGAAAATGAAAGACTCAGTCATTCAATAAGTAACACTCTCGGTGGTTGTCTGGCAGGCAGTGTACTGGGCACTGGACTGGGTTTGAAGGTGGCAGATTTGGCCCCCTTCTGATAGAAATAGGACCATGCAGTTGTGTATGTCACACGGGACTTCGTGCTCTGTCAGAGCAGGTGAGTGGTACCAGAGGTTCACAGGGGGAGGGACACCTTCCCTGCCCCGAGGAGGTCAGGGAGGTCTTCCCAGGCATATGGCTTTTAAGCCAAGACACAAACGGGTGATCAGACAGAATGAGAAAATGCAGTGGTTTCTAGTGGAGGCTAGGGGCACAGGGGCTTGCTTGGCTTTCTGTTCCGGAAAGAGTTAAAGGCAGATTCAGTTAGAATGGTGGCTGGCAAACTGTGGCCCATGGGACCTAATGTAGCCTACTATTTATTTTTGTAAATAAAGTTTTATTGGAACAGAGCCACGCTCATTTATTTACATACCGTCTCTGGCTGCATTCATGATCCAGCAGCAGAACCGAGTGGTTGCAACAGAGACTTGAAGGTCTGCAAAGTGAAAAATATTTACTGTCTGGCTTTTTACATAAAAAGTTGGTAGGCTCCTTTTCTAGAGCAGTGGTTCTCAAAGTGTGGATTCCAGCTCAGCTGCATCAGTGTCATCTGGGAATGTTTTAGACGTGACAATTCCCAGGCCTCACTCCAGACCCACTGAATTAAACTTTCTGGAGCGAGACCTAATGACGTGTGTTGAACAAGCCCTCCAGATGCTCTGATGCACATACAGTTTGAGAAACACTGCCTTCGAACCAACTCCTCTGTGCTCTGGGGACTTCACATAGTCCCATCTTCTCCCTGGACTGGGAGATCCTTGCATGCCTGGCTCCTTCTGTCCTTCAGGCCCCAGCTCAGATAACCCTCCTTCAGAAAGACATGCCTTGAGCACCCCATGTAAAGGTGACTCCTTGGCCCGTCTATCTCCTCTCTTCTCTGTTTAGTGGCATGTGTGCTATTTCTGCCACTTAACTACCCCTTCCCCCCTTTTGCTATCCGCAAAGTCATTTCTTCTCTCTTTGCTTTAGTTCCTCATCTATAAAATGGGGAGGATAATAGTACTAGTGTTATCTGGTTATTGTGGGGAATAAATAAGTCACCATATGTTAAGTGCTTATCCCAGGCCCATGTAGGTGTTAGCTGAAGAAGTGATACAGTGCTCTAGAAGTTTCCTGGGCTTTATGGGCAGGAGTCACTTGCCAGAGGGAATGAACTGAAGTGGCTTTGATTTGGGACCCAAATCTCCTGAGTTCTAAGCAGAAGTTATTTTCACTGGGTCTCCTTGGCTCTTGTTCCAGTAACTGGACCAATTGGATATTGGAGCTACAGAGTTGAAGATCATCTGCTCTAACCCTCTTGTTTATAGGACAAGGAGGCCCCGTCTCCCTGTTGTGGAATGCTTCCTAAGTCTTCATGCCTCTTATCTCCTTAGTCCTCACAACACACCTCCTTATCCTCAAGTTTAGGTGAAATACCCATGGGTCAGAGAGTTTCACTGATTTGGCTACCGCCACACAGCTGGAAAATGGTGGAGTGGTGGCTCACCCCCACCAGTCTGCGTTTTTGACAGACTACTGAAACTTGTCCTAAGGTGTCCCAAGTGAGCATGATTTCAACCTGTGTTGGCTTCTTTTGAGGACATATTCTTCTGGAAGGGTAGGATCTCACCTCCCAACATCAGCGTAAAGCTCATAGATGTTCTTACCGCTCTCTGCTGATGTGGTGTTGATGGCCTTCTCTTCTCCATGGACGCATAAATCAGCAAAATCTGGCTAGAGTACATGCCACACAGATAGGTTAGGCTCGTATCCCTCAGATGTTTAGCTTCTTTCATTATGTTTGAAACTGACTCCGAACTTGGCATTTCGAGAGTAGCCTTTATCAGCCAATTAGCTTCAGATCTGGGTAGAGGGGCTGGGTAGAAACCCACATTATATGGGAAAGTGAATCGTTAGGGTAACTAACAAAGATAAGGCCAGTAAAATATCCACTTACCCGCAGATCCCCTATGATGCCTATGGAAAAATATTAATATGTAATGAAGAATTGCTAGCAAAACCAAATAATTTCTTAGAGTGTATGTTTTAAGGGTGAGGCCTCTTTTGAAATAAGAAAAATATGAGATTGACGGTTACATGAAGCCAGGTCCCCCTTGTTCAAAGATTTAAGCAATAATAAGGGATGCCGGCTCTCACAGGCAATTCAGCTCAGGACTTTGTAATTACTTTCATCTTGATAACATCCCAGGCTGGGGTATTTTTATTGCTTGCGAAGAAGAACTGCCCTCAAGTTATCTACGAAAAACCAGTCAAAGGCACGTTTATAAAGGTATTGACCTTAAGATAATAATAGTGTGTGGTTGAGGGGGAAGGCATATTGGGTTTGTGCAGGATTCTGAGGGAAGGGGGTTGTCGCTGGGGAGCAGAAGGGTGGAAGAAGAATGGGAAAACTGGAACCTAGCCAATGATTGAAATGCATTTGGATTCTTTTATTTTTTGTCCTGACTTGGAGAGGCCACAAGTATTTACAAAACATAGAGGACCATTGTGCCCAGGGCTCGTAAGGCTTTCCTTGAGGATGCTTCAGTGTTTTTGGAAAGTGGGGGTGGGGGGGAAGGAAAGGGATTTTAAATAAAAATACTAGTTTAGTGAGAAATCTTAGCTCGCCACAGGAAAGTTCCATACTCAGAGCTTTTCAGGTGGGCTTCAGTCCTCAGACCTGAAGTACAGCCCTATGTTGGAGAACCACTCCGGGATGAGCAAAGCCTCTTTCCTCCCTCTCTGAAATAAATGTCATGAAAATCAAGCCAGTTCTGGTCCTTAACTGTAGAAACGAGCCTCTGTTGTTGGATTCAAGGGAGGAAAGTAGCTTAGAGTGCTCAAAACATCTCTCAAATACTTGCTCCATTTCCCTGCTCAGCAGGGAGTCTGCTTCTCCCTCTGCCCCTCACCCCACTCTCTTGCTCGCTCGTTCTCAAATAAATAAATAAAATCTTAAAAAAAACAAATACTTGCTCCAAGATCACAACCCAAGATGGCAGGTGGTTTTCTTTTTTTTTTTCCCCCTTTCAGTGTTACTGAGATATAATTGACATGTAACAGTGCATAAGTTTCAGGTGGACAACATAATGACGTGATATATGAATATATTGTGAAATGATCACCACCCCAAGTTTGGTTCACATCCATTACTTCACAGTTACACATTTTTTTTCTTGTGATGAGAACTTTTAAGATCTAGTGTCTCAGCAACTTTCAAACGTACAATACGGTGTTGTTAACTATAGTCACCATGCTGTGCGTGGTGACTTCACCCAGTTCCCCCACCCCCAACCCCTGCCTCTAGCAACCACCGATGTGTTCTCTGTTCCTGTAAGTTTTTGCTGTTGTTTTATTTTGTTGTGTGTGTGTGTCTTTTTAGATTCCACTTGTAAGTGAGATCATACAGTATTTGTCTGTCTCTGTCTGACATATTTCACTAGGTGGCTTGCCTTCTTTGAATAACTCTGATGTATTGGTAGTAGATGCCCGAATTGTTGTGTGGAGCAGGGTTCAGAAGTCATACTTGGCCTCAGCAAGAAGGCATGCAGCAGTTGATTAGCCATGACCGCTGTGCAGATGAAAGGAGAGTGTGGTTCCATGTGTACCCAGCCATGGACGTCACCATGTTCACGCTAGGCTAAGACGCTGTCTCTGAAAAGCACTGTGCTGTGCGAATCTACTGCATAAGTGAGGCAAGAGTCATATTTTTTTTCTTAATTTTTTTTCTCACAGTATTAGCTCCACAGCAAAATGGAGAAGAAAGTATGGAGGTTTTCCACAACCCCCCTGCCCTCACACATGTGTAGCCTCCTGTTACAACATCCCCCATGAGAGTGGTATAGTTGTTACAGTTACAGAATCCGTGTTGACCTCCAACATCGTCCAAAGTCCAGGGTTGACATTAGGGTTCACTCTTGGTGTTTTGCATTCTGTGGGCTTGGACAAATATACAATGGCACATATCCATCCATATATCCATTTTAATACCGTACTGAGTATTTTTACTGCCCTAAAAATCCTCTGTGCTCTGCCTGTGCGTCTTTCCCCCACCAAGCCCTGACAATCACTGATATTTCTACTGTTGCCATAGTCTGACTTTTTCCAGAATGCCCTATGGTTGGAGTCATACAGTTTGTAGCTTTTTTCAGATTGAATAACCACATTCTTCATGAGTGACTTAGAGATGTTCCATAGACAGAGAGGCTTATTGACTTCAGTTCTGCAGGTGGGTATGTGTCTAGTTCTGAAGGCCAAGGGACACTGTAAAGCAAGAGTTGACCAGCTTTTTCTATAAAGGGACAGATAGTGAATATATTAGGCCTTGTGGGTCAAGAGACAAAAATCAAGGTATTTAGATAACCATTTAAAATATAAGCATTTAAAAATCTAAAAATTGTTCTTAGTTCATGGGCCATACCCAAACAGGCGGTGTGCCGGATTTGACCCACAGGCTAGAGTTTGTGGCCCTCTGACAGTGGATTTAGACATGGACTTCACCATGGAGATGGCATTTCATCTTCCGTTTCCCACAGACGATGCTCCACCCATAAACTGGCTGCTTCCTTTATTTACCTCACCTGTCTGAGTTTAGGTAATTAAGTGTGCAACCACTGGGCTAAAGGAATGAGTTCTAAAGCATGAAATTATCCTTCCGATACTTTATATGTCATGTCTTGCAAAGTTGGTGTCAGCATTAGGTATGAAGGAGACTAAGAGGGGCAGTTGAGGGTGGAGAAGCAGTATGAACCAAGAGAACGCAGGCTGGTGGGCTCCGGTAGATGGTGCTCTGGCATTGGAGTAATGCATTAGAACACAGGCCAGCCCTGAGTCGGCCATTTACAAGCCATGTGACCTTGGACCAGCCAGCTTTCCAAATCTCAGTGTTCTCATCCATATGATGGGGCTTCCAGTACCTGCCTACCGGCTGAATAGGCTTGTCATAAGACTTAGGTTGTATTGCTTTTATTATGTGAATCTGTTGGAAAGCGTAGTGTTTAGTGTTTTTGGATCATGGAAGATTGAATGAAGGTGAGTGTGAAGTGTGGTTTGATGGGCTGGGGAAGCATGGGCTGAGAGCCCCAAACTGGAGAACATCCCTGGACTCCTGAATGAGTTCGTTTTAGAAATGAGAGGAGGAAATGTCACTATCTCCCAGCTCCAGTCAGGCAGGCAAGAGTTCCTTCTTACTTTTGAGAAGGTCACGCTTTCTGTTCTATTCGGGCCTTCAGTGCCTTGGATGGAGTCACCCACATTGGGGAGGGTAATTTGCTTTACTCCGTCTACTGATTCAAGTGTAATCTCATCCAGAAGACACCCTCACGACACACTCAGAATCATGTTTAACCAAGTATCTGGGCACCCCATGGCCCGGTCAGGTTCACACATATAATCAACCATCACAAAGACTGCTTTAGAAATGCCCTTTCCGATATATTAGGAGCATTTCCCCATTTCATTATATAGTCTTTCAAAACGACTTTTAAATTATACCATCTTTTACTTTATTTTATTTTAAAAGATTTTATTTATTTATTTGAGAGAGAGAGAGACAGAGAGACAGAGAGCATGAGCAGGGGAGGGGCAGAGGGAGAAGCAGACTGAGCAGAGAGCCCCATGCGGAGCTCGAACCCAGGACCCTGGGATCATGATGAGCTGAAGGCAGCCACTTAACTGACTGAGCCACCTAGGCGCCCCTAAATTATACCATAATTTAATTATTTCACCACTGTGGGACACTGACATGGTCATTCCTAGGTCTTGATGTGGTTCCAGAAAACCCTTTCTGTCCTCCCAAGACAACTCTAGTTTTGTTGCCTGGAAGCCCTTTATGTAGATGTGATGATTGACAACCCTCCTCTCCAGCCAGTGCTTCGCTAAAGCTTAGTGCAGTTCCTGGCATATAGTAGGTCTCTGCCCCTGCATTTCTCACCTAAAATGATCCCCCCACCACTACACATTCTATTGTTTCTTTCATAGCATTTACCTCTACCTAAAATATTCCTGTTTATTTGTTACTCATTTACATGTAATTACATTACATTCCTTACTAGAAAGGAAACTCAATAAGCGCAGGGACCATCATAGCTCATACGTACACTCAGAATATAGACAGGTACATAACAAGTGCTCAGTGAATATCTAAGAATATCTAAGAAATGACTATGTGAGCAACTAGTCTTTTTAAAAAAATCTGAATTTCCAGAATCTAAGTTGCTAGTCTGAGAGGGAAAGGAATATGATTCTCTTGTATAATGAAAAATGACAACAACTATAAACCATAGTTTGATTCGCTTTTGCCACAGTTAGACTATGAAAGCTTGATGACTTTTTCAGTGGACCGTTTTTTTGCCCTGATACGTATTTCTGACAGTATTCTCTCAAATAAGATTTTGGAAGCATATCCTCTAGCACGTGTGGTCCTTTCCTGCTCTTTTGTAGCTTGGCATTTCAGTCCTTGAAGCCTTCCCAACCCCAGTAAAAGGCTGTCACTGAAAACATGGCAGATAATATTTGGAACCCCTGTGAGTCCATTCCACATGAGGCATGGGTTTTGCTCACCCCATCTTCTGGGACTTATACAGGAGAAGGTTGCTGGGGGGCGGTGACAGATGAGGGAAAGAGATGTTTGCCTGATTCACAAAGACCTCGTTGGCCTTACCTTTGAGCTCTTGATGCCAGTAAGCAGGAGCCTTCTTTCTTGTCAGGGGCCAGAGTACAGCCTATAGAAGAGCAGGGTTGGTCAGATAAGGCTGGGTCATCATGGCACAGAGGACCGCCACATGGGCATGGTATCCACCAGCTGGGTAGGTTCTATCGGACAACGAACATTATCAATTGGGTATTTTGGTCTCCTCTGATACCGAGATGAGATCTACTCTTCTCATGGACCAGCACATTAAACTGTACTGAGGTCAGCAAATGTTTTCTGGTAAATGGTCAGAAAGAAGATTGGTTTAGTTTGCAACCACTTGACTTTTCTACTGCACCACGAAAGCAGCCCTACACAATGCTTGGGTAAACGGCCTAGCTGTGTACCAGGGAAACAGGTATTTGTAGAAACGGGTGGCAGGCTGGGCTTTGGCCTTTAGGCTGTGGTTTGTGCCCCTCTGCACCACAGCATTGTGATTACGGATGTGGATGCAGGAATCAGACACACCTGGCTTCACCCATTTTTGGCCGGGAGACCTGGGGGAGAACAGCTAACGACCTTGAACTCTGTCTCCTTATTAAAGTTAAAGGAATCAAGGGGGTCCGTTAAGAATGCTGCTCTGCACGGGGACTTCACATTAGCATTACTTTTCTCAAAGAAATTACATTAGGAACAGTTTACTGTTTTCTTCAGTGGGAAAGAAAAAAAAAATCTGAGGCAGAAAATGAGACCTTCCTTTAACTTTGGCAGCGCCTGATTCTGTGGCTCCCTGAGGCACTGAGCAACCTAAGTCATCAGAAAGGAAACTGATCCATAAAGAACCTTTGCTTTTAAAGTCCTGGAATAAACCAGACCCTAACTGGCATCCTTTAAAAATGTTAACAGTTCTTCTTTTCCTCCAGAAAATAAAAATCGGTTTCTAAAAGCAAATTTCCCTGTGCGTCCTGTACAAATGTACTCGGAATAGACAAAATAGTCCCAACTTGCCTGTAGAACCACCTCCGTGGGGTCCAGCCAGAGCTGCCTACCGTCAAGCCTCTTACAGCAGCGGCTGCTCAGCAAAATCCGGGGGGGGGTTGCTTAATGAGGGGTGAAGACAATATGGACTCAGGGATGCGGCCAGTTGCTTTTTCACAGTTGGTAGGCAGTGTTGCAGGTGCATTCTCTTAATGAGGGTTAATTTGTCTCATATTTTAATCTGACAGAATCTGGCCATGTTGTTCTGTATTCCTTGGAGGTGACTTGGTGGTTCTTGGTTGGCAGAAAGAAAGAAAATGGAGTATAATTTGGTGTTTGTTCGAATGATAAAGAAGCAAGCGGGAGTTGGTAAGAAATCCTACATTTCTGGTGCCCAGAGTAACAATTACATGGAAGAAGAACATTTTAGCACGAACAGCAAAGATGAACGAGGGCTAAATTGAGCTTTTGGAAGACTCCAGCTCACGGTGACTCACTATTCAGTGCACTGAATCAGCGTACGTACCAGGGGTGTTATTTTGCACCGTATGCATGAGTTTGCCTGTTGCAGATTCTGCTATCTACAGGGTACTTATTGGTTCCTACTCCGAGAGTGCATACTGATTCTTTCTGTCCTTAATTGGAGGCAGAAAAAAAAAGTCATAAAAAGTAATTGGTACTAATTGAAAAAGTTGAAATGAGTAAAATTGACCCTGCCCCACGTTAATCATAATCATAGATTATCATATGTAAGTACTGTTAAATTGCTTGGATGTGTTTTGGATTTAGAGATGGAGACATCCAGAAGCCCACAGATATATATTCACAGTATTTGGGAGAGTTCTTTAATTTGCACATGACAGAAAGCAAACTCACACAAGCTTAAGCCACGAGTAAAATGGCCATGTTCCTGGGAAGTCGGAGAGCCGATCTGGATGGATTCCTGATTGGATCCTGGGGTTCGCTGGGAGCCTTCTCTCCTCCTCTTCCTCTCCCTTTCTCTTTCTCCATCATCCAGTTCTTCTCTCTTCTTTTCAGTCCTCTGCAGACAGCTCTCCTTCCCTTGGTGGGAAAGACGCTCACCTACATCCCCACGGTCCTAACTCACCAGGGCAGCCGCTCTTGCTGAGAGAAGAACTTCTTTATCCAGGGACCTGGACGTCAGTCCTAGCGAAGGATGGTGACTGGCTCTGCTTGGGCCAATCTCCGTGGACAGGGGGACAGTAACAGGGCAGACCAGGGTCACCCCTGTGTCTGTACCAGGTGGAGGATTGGTTGTTGGGGAATGTGAAGCACAGGACCACATCAGCTCAAATAAAAGGGAGTTTCTGGTTCCAGAGAAAGGGGAGAAAGAATGCCAGTTAAAAACCACACAGTGAGCCAGTGATGCACACACGTGTACATCTTAATTTAAACAACAAAAAGGAATACAGAGTCTGCTATTCCATAGCTTTGCTTTTCACTTAGTACATACCCTTGTGTGTGTCTCCATATGTCCTTACAGCTTTCTTTTTCAAAGCTGTATAATGCTCACTTTGGCATACATTTTGTTTTACCAAAGCCAAAGGAGCCACCATTTAAGGAAAAACAATCATATGGTATCCATCTTAGAGCACATGACAATTTATATTTTGGTATTTCCTTGTGTGTCTTTGACAGCTTTCCTCAAACTCCTAATTTCATTAAACAGATTTAAAAATCAGAGATGTCATATTATGTGTCAGATTAGCCTTTGTCAGATTTCTGAACCTTCAGAAAAGCCTCTGACTTGTTCCTTTTTGCCTGGAATTCCACTTCTGTGGTTCCTTTCCTTTTTGCTTGAAAAATGAAAATCTGAGCCCTGGAGGGGTGATGATTTTAGCAAAGAGTCATTTTTACTCCTGAAGGTCAATGAGTTTGTCAGAGCTTTTCCTGCATGGAAGTTTGGCAGGAGGTGGGAGGGAACATGGGCCCCAGGGGCAGAGTGCTCCTTTGGGGTGGGGGGCTTCCCTGAGGAAGGGGGACAGAAGTAAATGTGGGCGGGAATAACACTGACTACATGGGAGGTTCAGGGGACGTGTTGGAGCTCAGTGCTTCATTAGAGAGAAAAGCTGTAAAAATCCCCTTCCTCTTAGGGATTTGGCTCCACGTGTGCCAATTTCTGGAAGAGCCCTGAGTGTCCCCACCCCCACCAATTTCTGCCCGTGTCCTTCTGCCTCTATGCCTCCCCATCTGTGCATGTCACTTTGACTCCACACTTGTTAACTTTGGAATAAAGCCCAGCTCCTTCCTTGGTTTCCACAAAACAATTGGTGAGCATCACTTTTTATTGAAAATTTTAGGAGTTCATGGAAAGGAATAATGTGGGGGTTCACATGCCTCTTCTTACCACTTTCTGGCACCAACACGATTGTTTCTTCATTCCCGATTGCCTTTATTTCTGGGATAAAAAGGAATTCTTCTGCTTGCCTCCCATAGGGTAGTTCTGTTTGATGTTCCTGAGTTGTCCCCCTATAACCCCACGCACTTGTCAAGAGGTCCAACAGTTACTGATCGGCTGACACAGTGTAGGGGCAAGAACAGATGTGTTGGAATCAGGCAAGCTTGTTTTCAAATTCTTGTTCTTCTGCTTACTGACTGCATGACTTCGGGCCAGTTACAAAACCTCCCCAGACTGTTTCCTCAGCTATGTAATGGAGCAGTAGTGATGTATCCTGCCCCCGCTGCCCCCTCAAAGCACTGCTGTGAGCCTGAAATGGAGAATCCCTGGCAGAAAGCACAGCACCTGGAGGCTTGTGGGGCTGGGGGATAGAGGATGGGTACCTTGTTGAGAGATGGAGCCAAATGAGTGGGCTACCGTATGGAAACTTCTAAATATACACCCAGTTTTTGGCTTTATGCTTAATCCATTTGGGAGCCATTAAACGTGTATGAATAGAGCTGGGTCTTAGGAAGTTAATTCTGGGAGCAAGGAGGAAGATGTGGGGGTCCAGGCAGGCCCGGGCAGATGCCGATGAACGCTGGTGCTAAGGCAACAGTAGATCTGAGCTGTGTCGTGAAGTGGTGTCAATGGAATTTGACAAATTATTATATTCTACTTTGGAGCTGGCTTCCATTCATGCCTTTTCCTCTGCATTTATTTTTGTGACTTCTGGTACTCATTCATTATGCATATTGTATATTATTCTAACCATTTGTTATGACTGTTTTTCTAATGGCAACCAAGAGAACATCTTGGTAGGGTGTGCAGCCTTTATGGCTCTGATTCCCATGCATGAGGGCTACTTACTTACCGTGCTGCCCTAGAAAACTATCACCCAGCACAGTGGGAACTTTAATTAATATTAAACAAGCCATCCGTTTTGTACGGGTTCACTGTGGAAGCATGAATTGAGAGATATGAATTGAAGGGGGCTTTGATGGACTCCTTGGAAGGAAAAGAAGCTCTCTCCCAAGCAAAATGGCAAACACTTCTCTACAAATGGTAGTTATCCCCGATTAAGAGTATCATCCAGAGGACATATCTGAAAAGAATTCTGTTGCTGCCCAGTTAGACCCGATCCCCAGCCACCTGCATTTAGATGCTGCTTTGGTCTCTTCTGACGCCCACTGTGTGGGGTGGGACGGTCGGGGAGACACAGGGGAGCTGTTTGCAGGAAAGGGGATCAGACAGTGTCGTGAGAAACTGTGTATTCAGACAAAGCACAAAGCTGCCGGTAATAAGTTTTCTGTTTTTGGCAAAGGCACAAGGGCTTCAGAATTTCCCAAAATCTCAGGTGTGAAAGCTCAAGTTACCTCTAGGCTGTTTCAACTATGTTACGTGATTGGTACTTCTTTGATAAACCCAAGTCTCTGGGGGCTTGGCACCCAGAAAGGCTGGTCTTTCATAGGGTTCAACAGTCCTCAAATAACTTCCCTAACATTGAAGGCCCTAGGTTGGCTCTCCCCCACCTCCATCCCTGCTGTATTGGTAATGCCTCCTGCCTCGTTCCACCCTTGAGTTATTTACTATGGGGTAGAGACGGCATGAAATTCCCAATTTCTGTTTATGTCTGACATGCCCCATGTCTATCAGGCTCATCACTCCTTAATTATGAAACACTGAGACTGAACTTTGAAATGGAAGCCAAATCTTATTAAAGACTTAATCATGGGTCTTTAAGTCATATAATTGCTTGTGATCTCTCTTTCTCTGTCCCTTTTAAGCAAGGTAGGTTGGCGTCTGCATTTCTGTAAGGTCATTGAGCTAGAAGAGGCGGGATCCAGTCTAAGTGTATGCAAATTGCCCAGGAATGTGTGTGCTCTACAAGGGGGAGGGACGGTGGGGGAGAATGGACTCTTGTTATGTATATTGTCTGCTCAATTAATCTTTCTAGATGTATGTCCTTGTTAATGAGTCTAAAATCCCGTTGTCTTCCTGGGTAAGTCCTAGAAAAGTGAGGCTTGCCAGCCAGGCTTGGTCTGCGGAAAGACAGCCTCCCTTCACAGCCTGAGTCCCTTACGTGCCACCTGTGAGGTTGGTGTGGGAGTCTCTGTCTCCATTTCTCTTTCGGTAGGATCCAGGAGCCTTCACATCTCGCTCCCAGAGGAACACGAGACCCATCTCCTGATGAAACCAAGAACATTTTTTCTGAGTTAGATCACGTTCGAGTTTGATAATGTTCAGGTCTGCCTGAGGGCTTCCGCATGAGGAAATGAGAAAACGTAGCAGAACTGTGCTTATTGAACAAAGCTGCCTGTCTTGAGTTCATCCAACCAAGACTGAAATACACTGGGTAAAAAAAAAAAATGAAAGGAGGGCTTTTGCTAAATTTGATTTCATATTTTGCTTGCCATACCCAGAACTTTCTGTTGTCCATTTGCAGGGTAATATGCAAGTTACCCCCTGTTATCCTTGTCTATATTTTACAGCTCTTGAAAAATCAAACTGCCCTTTATTCTGACTGTTTTTCATCAAATACAAATGCTTACAAATACACCAAGGCATAAGGTCAGAAATCAATTCCGTCCTCTTAAAATTACTTACATGTGGGAGCTGGTTGCTCCAGGGAGCCTCGTTCAATATCTCATATTTTACTTGTAGAGATTGCTTGTTTGGCTTCCTAATATCTGAAGCATGCTATGGGATATTTTCTCTTATTTTCTTTGAGAGCAAAGAATTCAAAAGTGCCTGATGAAGGAGACCAGATAGTGTGGGACCAGAGGAGGGATTCCGGTGTTTAGATTTGTTTGCATACAGCGCTCCGCAGTGCTCATTGAGCAGCTGGACCCTGGGTGCTGCTCGGTCGCGCCTCTGGACCTTTGAGGAGCTGAGGATTGTGTTTCGTCACCGAGGGTCTGAGTCCGCACCCTCCGAACGATACTGGTGTGGTACATTAGTAGTATCATTGGCCTTCGAAGTAGGAAGATTTTTCCTCTCAAGAATCAACTAAAACATTTGTCAGAGATTCTTTTCCTGTTAATAGTTGTCTCCACCCATTGTGAGCTGTGCTCCAAGTGATTTGATCCTTATAACATATCAAAGCCATCCAGTTATAAGTTATTTTTAAAAGGAAATTAATGATTTCAAGGTCATCTCTATAATAGCATCTCTCTCATCTGAATCCTGATAAGGGTTTTGAGTGGGATAAAAGGAGTAGAGTTAAATTCATTAAAACTTAAATGTATCCCTCCATCTTTCCAACTGTCTGTCCATCCACCCATCTATCCATCATCTATCTGTCTCTCATCAGCCATCCATCTATCCTTTCATCCATCCATCCATCCATCTATCCATTTACCGCTTACCAAGCACCTGCTCTGTGTTAGGCACTGAGGTGGGAGTTGGGACAAGTGGTGAACAAGGCAGACAGGGTTCCTAACCTCATGAAGCATATAATGTATTGGGAGAAATAGAAAATAAAATGGTGAACAAATTATTAACAAACAAGAAATAATTTTAAAAAGATGGCAGAAAAGCAATTTCAGGTCTTCTAGGAAGTCAACATTTGAGCTGAGACCTAAATATTAGAGACTGTGCCATTCAAAGATCTGGAGAAGGGTGTCATCAGAAGAGTGAATGGCAAGCGCAAAGGGCCTGATGTGGGAATGAACTTGACAGACGCGAAGAACAGAAAGGAGGCTAGTAGTTGTTGAAAAGAGAGGCAGCATGGAGCCGTGTTGAAAGAGCATGGACTTGGAACTGCCTCAACTGGAATCCCAGTTGCCTTACTTGTCAGCTGTGTGACCTTGGCTAAGTTCCTTAATCTCTCTGTGCTTTTCCTCATCTGTGAAGTGGGGGGTAAATACAGCCCTACCTCATGGTGTTTGCTGATAATGAAATGAGCTGATATTTGTGGAAGCACTTGGGATAGTGCCTGGCACACGGCGGGTACTCTGTAAGTATTTGCTAACTAAAAATAAGTTTTTTCTTTTAAGATTTATTTATTTATTTGAGAGAGAGGGAGAGCGAAAGAGAGAGAGCATGCACGAACATGCCCACAAGTTGGGGGAGGGGCAGGGGAGAATCCCCAAGAAGACTCGCCACTGAGCAGGGAGCTGGACTCAGACTCGGGGCTCCATCTCAGGACTCCGAGATCATGACCTGAGCTGAAACCAAGAGTCAGACGTTTAACCAACTGAGCCACCCAGGTGCCCCAACTAAAAAATGTTTTTAAATTAAGTTGAGAAATTGTGTGAGATCTATTTTAGCCAGGCCTAGTAATTATAGTAATTCATAGACACAAATCTTACCATATCATGGCTTGTCACTACAGGGGGAAAAGGTGAATTGCTGACCTAGTTCAATATCTTCATTTTAGAGAAGAGACTGAGCCTTACTTGCAGATTTTATTTAAATTATTTATGAAGTACAATATATATGACCATGTTCTTGTTATAAGACATTCATAGAATGCTACCAAAGCTAAATTTTGTGCTGTTCGTACCCTCAATTCTAGGCCCCTCCCTGGAGATCAGTATCTGACTATGCTGACGTTTATCTATACTTCCATATGCTTAAGTGACACATAGGAAAATGCATAGTTTTGTTTTTATAGATATATTGAGAACATCTTATTTTTTTAAGTTGTGGTAAAAATATACATACAGTTTACCATCTTAATCGCTTTGAAGTACACAGCTCAGTGGCAGTAAGCACATCCCCACTGTTTTGTTAGTATATCTTGTTCTTAAACTTGTTTGTTGTTTTCACTGTTAATTTTAATTTTCTTTTTACTTAACAGCATGTCTTAGAGGTTTTTCTTCAGCATTGATGTAGCTTTTTCTCTTTCCTCTTAACCTCATCTTGGCCTTTCATGGTGTTGTAAAAAAGCTTCCAGGTTTCTGCTGTGGTACAGAAAGTGACTCTTTAAAATATTTTCTTTCTTCCCTGCTAAATAATAAAACAGGATCCAGAGCCATATTGGGTAAAAGCATGACTTTTCAACATTTTCTTGTTGCTTGTGAAGCCCAATGATCCCTTCCACTTTGGCAGAAAGGCATCTTTAAATGAGAAAGCAAGTGATGGGCAA